GGGTTATTAACTTGACTTATAGCTCTGCGGAGTTATCGGGGAGGTGGCGATAGGTATAAAATGAAAAATACTTGATATACTTATATAAAATTCTAGAAGCAATATATCAAGTTTTGTGACTCTAGCTTTTAATACTTACCAAAATTGCTCAAAAAACAGGATGTCGATATTGATTCTTATCGATTGCTTGTAAACGGAGTAAGTTACCGATTAGGAGGACCTAAATCTAAAATTCAGGTCTCTACCACTTATAGGTTCTGAGATCTTTGCGTTCACACATACGGACAGACGGACGGACGGACGGATAGACAGTCAGACGGAGATGGCTTAATCGACTCGGCTATTGATGCTGATCAATAATATATATAAGTACTTTATCGAGTCGGAGATGCGTTCTTCTGCCTGTTACATACATTTGCATTTTGCACAAATACAATATTCCCTTTTTACCCAGTTTTAATGGGTTCAGGGTATAAAAAACAGTATCATCGGCAGGGGACCACTTGATATACATCTACTCAACGGGTACAACAATAATTAAGCATTATTGAGAAAAAATGAATTAAAAGAGCAGCACAGAAAACAATCTCAATTGCAATGCTGTTAATAGAATTCGAAGCAGACGCGCATGAATGTGTGTGTATACATGTATACAGCTATTCTTGGCATTTGCGTCGCAAATACATGCGCAATCAAACTACCGAACAACAAAATAAAAACCGATTTGAATGAAATTTTCTACAGTATATATTATTCTACCATAGAATAAAGCCAATTTTATTAAAATTGTGGCTTAAATAAGAGGGCAACATAAGTTGGGTTATTCACTTGATTTATTGCTATGGGGTGGTAGCGGGGAGGTAACGATAGGTATATAATTAAACATACTTGATATATATATAATATTCTGGTATTCCGGACGAGGGAATACACTGAACCAAAGGCAATATAAACACTTAGATGAGTAACGCCCATACATTTGAATGCTACGCAAAATTTCTAGCCAGGCCTTTCATCTGGCCTTTGAGACTTCGTACGGCATGCCTGCCGACTGGTTGTTCGTTCTCCAAAGACCAGACGAACGAATGGCGAAGGTCGCGGCTTGCTGATGGTGACACAAGCAACGAAGTTAGTCGCTAGCCTGCCTTCAGCACAGCTGGTCGATGCTTCTTTGCGTCGTTTCGTTTTCGAAGTACATTGATCGAAAAGGTTTATAACTTACGATCGACGCAAAGTGCTTGTGCTTATCCATGAAATGCATGCTTTATTTAAATGATATATTATCATAGATACTAACGATTAATTTCACAGAAAAATTTAAGAATTAAATAGTTTTTACACAGACGGACATGGCTAGATCGACTCGGCTAATGTTGCTGATCAAGAATATATAAACTTTATGGGAGATGCTTCCTTCTGCCTGTTACATACATTTTTTGCATTTTGCACCAATACAATATACTCTTTTTGATCATTTTTAATGGGTTCAGGGTATAAAAAATACCCATCGAATTTTATGACACGCAACGCGACGCAGTCGAACGTCAAAGAAATATTTTGGCATCTGAAGATGTCATCTTAATGTACCCGGATTTTAAAATCCGCTTTGGCTTTACTACTGACGCTTCGGCAAATGGCATTGTTGCTGTGCTGTCCCAAGAAGGGAAGCCGATCACAATGATATCACGCACATGAAAACAGTGTTAAAATCATTACGGAATCAATGAAGCGAAACTTTTAGCTAATTACCTGTATGGTACTAGAGAGCCCCATTTTCACAGATCACCAATCCATGACCTTTGCAGTGATCGAGAAAAACACTAATGCAAACATCAAGAAAAAAAAGCATTCGTTGAAGAACATAATACTAAAATATACTAGAAACCAGAAAACTATGTGGCAGATGCATTGTCGCGTCAAAACATCAATGGCCTGCATTACGAGCCCAAATCTGACGTAGCACCATTCTTTCAGTTCTACAATTGAAACAATAATTACAATAGATAAATTGTTTTAGAATCCAAATTATTTTGGAAGAAGCGCGTTATGCCTTAAATCGGAAAATCATTATGTTCGCGAGTACTATCGCCATAAAGACAGTTTACCGATAAGAGTGACTTAATAAAAACTATAAGTCTCACGGTTAATCCCGACGTTGTAAAAGCATTTCACTGCGAATTACCAACTTTAGCCGCTATACAACAAGAGCTAGTATCACTATTCCCATCAACAAAATTTTGGTATTGCAAAAAAGTCGTCTCTGCCATTACCAATAAAGAACAACTAGAAATTGCAATCTCAGAGCACAGAATAGCCAAAGAAGAAGTGATAAATTGCGAAGTATGCACTAAGGGAAAATACGCTAGCCACCCAAAGAGGAAGAAACTTGGCGAAACACCCATTCCATTCCACACCGTTGAAAGATTACACATTGATATTTTCTCTACAGACAAGATTTTGTTCCTGACCTGTGTTGACAAATTTTCAAAATTAGCTATCGTACAACCATTGGTGTCCAGAGCAAGATCAGATGTAATCACCCCCAACCTTCATGTGGTTAACTTTTTTCCGAATGAGAAAACTATCTACTGCAATAATGAAGCATCATTCAAGTCAGAAACAATCACCCCATTGCTAAAAAGCCAATTCGACACAGACATCGTTAATGCAACTCCACTCCACAGCTGCTTCAACGTGCAAGTGGAACGCTTCTACAGCACTTTAATAGAGATTGCTAGGTGCCTCAAAATCGACAAAAAAAATTCAATTACACGACCCTGGCAATTCTCAGAGCTGCCATTGAATACAACAAAACATTACATTTAATAAACGGACAGCGTCCGTTAGACGTTGTCCACGTGGCCTCAGATAAAATACGTCAAACAATCATAGATAAAATATCAAAGGCGCAACAAGGCCTGCTCCGCAGATCCAACCCGGACTGACAAAACAGTATTTTTGAAGTAGGCGAGACAGTTTACATAAAAAACAATAATATATTAGGATATTATCGCCCTTATGTTCCGAAGAAAAGGTTTAAGCCGATCTAGAAAAGACAGTTCTCATTAAGGGGAAGGTCGTCCATAAAAACAACCTTAGGTAGTCACAAGATCTTCAAACCCAAACAAAATAATAAAAAATCTATAATTCTGGCTCCCTACAGGTTCATCAGGATACTTTTCGTGCTCAGAACGAGCTCGGATCACCGACTTCTCAAATGTTAATTACATTCCCATACTTGATGGTAACGTTTTAGTATGGGAACAATAAAGCTACGTAAGACACACCACTGCCCTCACTAACTTTTTCAACATTGTAGATGATACTAAAAAATTGTCCGAATCATTCCCCCATTCGCATATGCGAAAGTTAATAAAAAGTTAATAAAAATGAGATCAAATTCTTGGCACTTTTTCCAAACAGTACTATTTCAAATAGATTAAACTTTCACATCTTTAGAGCGAACAATATTTTGTATATTTACTTTAGATATATAATTTTTTGTCGGCACTGCAACTTAATAAGAGATTATACACTTTTAGTTATATTCTCTGTCAATGTTTTAAGTAAGATTCGGATCTATAACAAGATGAGTGCCCTACATTATACAAACACATTGAAATACCTAAAATATTGACTATGCGTCGCTTTATGTTGGCTTAAATTTGTATTACTGAAGTTTAACTTTTAAGTGCATGTTTTACATATGTACAAATATATTTCCTATATAATTTGCAATTCCCTGTCCGTCGAGAAAATGTGAAAAGCTCTCATATCATGTGACAAACAACCACGAAACATGTGTCCGTATCGTCTTAGCTAGAATTTTTTTGCCCAACTACCTGCAAACAAGTTAGCATTCGTTTACCGTTTTATCATCATAAGAACACTTAGTAGAGAACTAGTTAAATAAATCTATCCAATACAAATCTCAGTTATGCTGTAAGCCCGGTTTTTAAAAAATTAGCAGTTGTGCTATTGCACTGTTAACATGGAACTGTGGTCTAGTCGGGAAAATCCTTATTCTACTAAAAACAAAACTTGTAAATGCATACGTAATTGTATTTATTAATTATTAAAAAGTTTCCTTGGCAGGGTTCGAACTCGCTACTGACCGCATTATATGGTGCCGACTCTACTCAACCCCAACATCAGCAAAAAAAAAAAAATACTTTCTCCGGTAGGGCTCGAACTCGCGACAAAGCGCGCCACTATGATATGCCACTGCTATGCCTCTACTCAGCATATGGCGATATGTATAAAATAAAACTTACTTGATACTTGGTGACTCTAGCTCCTATTATTTACCCAATTTGCTCAAAAGACAGCATGTTGATATCGATTTTTATCGATTGCTTGAAAACGGAGTAAGTTATCGATTATCGGAAACAAAGTCGATCTGCGCAGGCACTAGGACGGCCTACATCTAAAATTTCAAGTCTCTAGATCTTAAAGGTTCTGAGATCCTTGCGTTCATATACACGGACGGATGGACAGACAGACGGACATGGATAGATCGACCCGGCTATTAATGCTAATCAAGAATATATATGCTTTATGGGGTCGGAGATGCTTCCTTTTTCCTGTTACATACATTTGCGTTTTGCACAAATACAATATATCCTTTATACCCATTTATGGTTTAAAAGAGTGTCAATATAGAACTGCGCGACTAGAGGATACCCTGAAAATTCTTCTAGAAAAACCATTTTTAACACATTGAGTTCTATCGAAGAGAGCTCTTGCGTATTTATTAGTAGTAAGTGTGGCTCATATTAAATATCCAAGCACAAGAGTTTCCCAATTAAACATACATACGTATTACTACTCAAACCTAAAATTTACCATAATGATAATGCGTTTATTTTAATAAACGATTATACATTGATTCACATCGTATTTACTTTGTATACTTGTAAACGAATTCGTACATTCATTAGATATCCAATGAAATCATTATTCAAAATCCTCTGCGGTAGGTAGATTTATATACTTCTTACCTTAACTTTTAACGAAATATTTTCCACAACAGCTTTTCCATTATATAGATCAACTTTTAACTGTTCCAAGTTAAGGTTATTTTCAAAAAACTGACCTAAATACCTTTGTAAGAGGTATCTACAAGTCTTTGTTTTAAGTCCATCCCACAGATTAAACCAAGACATCGTTATTATTTGGTTTAATAGTATAATAAATCGCTTGTACTTAGTCTATTGTTATTGTTTTATATTACGGATATGTTGTTGACATCAGTTTTTCGATAAGAAAAATCGATTATGAAATCCTTGAAAAGATATTGAAAAAAGTGCATTCTCATTTGATAGAATGTCTCTATGTTACACTTGCATCAAAAATATCGATAAGAATCAAACGTGTTTTGTAAACATTTCCCGTCCATTTGCACTTCTAATAAGGTGTTATTCTTTTTCTATTGCCAAAAAAATCAACTCCAGTTAATCCAGCTTTTCTTCTGGATGCATTTGAAAATAAGCATTTGCATTACTGAAATTGTATTATATTACAGCAAGTTCGTTGGATATGAGCTTCATCTGAACTTAAATTTTATTATTGTTTCTTGTTTTTTAAAGAATTTATTTTAAAACGTCGCTTTGGATCCTTTTTATGAATAGCTTAACAGCAGAATAGTGATGGCTCTCATGGAGAAACAGAACAGCCTCTTTAAACTAAAAATCTATTCTTCACTGCCAGATTGCATTCTCTAACTTTTTGCTGGACTTTTTTTTACAGCAAAACACACTTAAAACTCGGAATTTGTGTTAAATGCAAAATATCATTGCTTAATATTTGAAAACAATGCAGAAATCAAGCGAACAGCCTATGTGTGTGCTTTGCTTTTGGACTTAAAGCCTCTGTCCACAGGCTTAAGAACTGTCACATTTTCAAATTTCACATAATGGAGTTTCACCGGTTTTTGGTAACATGTGAGTGGCAAAAGTGCCGCTTCTTTAAATAAACAGCTGATCGAGTTTCATTCATTTACATAAGCGCCGTAAAATTTTTCTTCCAAAACTCAAAAATTACGCTCTCTAAGTAAGGCTCCATTTTAGGTACTCTTTTCGAGATTTCACCATGTTTAAATTCTAAAAACTGTGGGATTATTCTTATTTCAAATTTCTTATTTAAAGTTGCCACTTGCCTTCGTTGATATATCAGAGGTTCATGCTTACGATACTTTACCATTTTTCACAATATCGATAGAAATATCGATAGATCATCGCAAAAAAACATGAAATGTCTGTGGCAAACTTACACATTTTGAAAAAATTTGCCCTTCTTGATAGATGTGTGAAATGTGTTTTCTTATAGGGAAACGCACAGGGCGCATATCACACATTTGTCGAAAATGTGATATTTTCAGAAATGTGTTCAGTGGACAGAAGCTATTAGAAGCAATCGTAGAAAAAACTTATTATAACAATTGTGATACATATTTTAAAAACTTCTGATGTGATGTATTTTATATTTATAATTTTCAATTAGTTATATTTCCGGTTGGCTCAAAAATATGTATTTGATACAATTACATTTGAAACATGTAATTGATATTTATAATATTCAATTAGTTACATACATATATTGCCGGCTGGTTCAAAACCATGTACAAAACTGCTTACACATCATCTGTAGCGAACGCACTTACAGTATATGTAAATACACTACTGCAAATACAAGCAACATAAATAAACCAATTATTGGATGCCATTTTATTGCAAAATTGAAAACCCAAAGGTGCAGTTTACTGCATTCTCTGTGGTGTCGGAACGAGAGAGGGCTATCGGTTGTGTGCCTGGTTTGTTCAGAGTGGATACAGGCGAGCTGTGGTTCCCTGGACATTCAAATGATGCTATTGCTCATATGGGCAGTGTCCGCATATAGCCTTTAGCTGCCCAAAACGAAGGGGAGTTTTACTCAATTTTCGATAGAACCAACGTGATCCAAGTATTTATTACTTGTTAAATTTAAAAATAAATAGTGCGAGAAAAAACTTAAGTAAATTGCATTGCAGAAAACAAAATCTTAAAAATATATACAAAATTGAAACCAACCACCATTACTGCTGGCTTGTGCCGAAAAACAAAAATTGTGAATTATATTGTTGGGTTTAGTAGGCTAATTGTAAATATTGTTACGAGCAGTTAAGTTTAGTTTGATTTGCTTTTATTAGTAGCATTATTAATACAACGTCGATGTTATTAAAATTCGTCGCATGGTAATCGGTAGACGGTCATTTAATTGGGGTGGAGAAGGAATCAGTGCAGGAGGGCGGCATTTATGTCCGCGGGGTTCATTTAAATATGAAGGGCATCTTCCGTAAGGCTGTAAGAGAGCCACTCCGAAACCGATTGTGCTGAACTAGAAAGAGGTGCCGGCCGCTAAAAACGATAAGAGGCTGCAGCAATAAGAAGCTCTATCGTCGACCAAAATTTACGTTTTAGGAGATTAACATGGAGGAAAAAATCGGATGGAGGCTGTGACAGCTCCGTCGTATACTCTTCCGGCTTTGCAACGCTGCTCAGTAAATATGTAAGCTGACAGATAATGACATTTTGGAAAACATCCTGAACCATCTCCGTTTCATAAAAAACTCCGCCGAGATCTCTGTTCCGTTGAGCGAAACCCTGTATAAACGAACTAGAATGTTTGTGCTGAACGATGAAGCCTTGGTTGTAGTGGTTGGTTCATGCCGATTTCAGAAGGGAATTTTGGATCCAGTGTTAATCCCAAGATGCGCATGCATTAATTCTATGCGACCATATGCTGTAAGTTTTTTTTTATTTACGTAAGTATGTGTTTTATATATTACTAGCGAGTATTTCCCGGCCTTGCCCGTGAAACTTTTTATACCAATAATGCCTTTCCACTAAGTAAACGGCCGTGGAAAATTTAAATCCATGCCAGTTTTGCGATGAGATTCTCTTCAAGAATTTTGAAAAATAAACTTTCGTTTAAGGAACCTTTGACCTGCAATTGTCACCCAAGAAGGTATAAAAAGAAGTATTTGCTGGCTGGCTCGAGATCCTGCTCTGTAAAAACAAACAGTGAAACAATTTTATTTCATTTTTGCCTCCATATATTTCGATTTATATTTTCGTAAAATATTTTTCATTTTATTTTCATAATCTTCTACATTCATTGCTACGGTTTCGTTACACTTATCGGACGATAGAATATTAATACTATTATCTTTCAATAATTTTCGTGTCGGTTCCACTGTGTCCAGTATTGTTTAATACCTAGTGTTTTATTTTACTAATAAAGAGACTTTTATATTTCTATTATTTCCAAAGACTTACTTCTAACCGTTTGCAGTGTATTTTAAGAGAGGAGAGTCTCTTTTGCTGATTGGGAGAGCGAACTTCTTCCCTTTTGCGAGTTACGTTTGGCGGGAATTCTATTTTAGCGTAATGCTTCACATTGACATATTTTGGACCGACAAGAAACATTTTCTGACATGCATCGAAATATGTTCGAAATTTGGAATGTTTCCTGTAGGTTATTAGACGTACAAATCCCTATCGTCCAGCTTATGAACTTTCCCGAAACTAAAATTATATGCTGCGATAATTAGGCATTCTTTAACCTCGAATCATCTCCTCTTTGTTGAAAAAGAGGTATGGAGTAGATGTTATAAACGCGCCACCGCTGCACAGTTCCCTTAACGGCAAAGTAACCGCTAGAAATAATACGAGCACCTACTGATGAATTCAGGGAACCGATCAGATGTAAAATCGATAGGTATCAACAGATTCAGTTTGAGAGAAACAGAACCAAAAAGCAGAAAAGGGTATTTGATGTAGGAGATAAGATTTTTGCCAAGACCCACAGAGGCTAGGGAACAAACTAACCCCCTTGTGCGGAAACTCTCCATTCATAACTTGCAACGGTTTTTCATTAACAGGAGGGTGGACCGTAAGGACAACCTAATATACCATATTTTCTTTTTAGGCTAGACAGCACTTTAATCAGCATTCTAATTTAGGTTACTCAATTTTTACAGGCTCATGGGTATACTCTTCACCTTACTGGACATAGCAAAAGATCAAATCACCGAATACTACCCTGCCCATTACATTCCCGTTTTAGACGGCAATGGGAACAGTATAGCTATGTAAAACATTTTGCAAGTATTGATAGATAGCTATAGAACATATTCGAAATCTCTTGTCCTTATTGAAAGTACACCATCGACCAAAATTAAAAAAGCTAGAATGGGTGATTTTTTTACACTATCCCATTTATAAGAGGCGCATTTGACCAGAAATAGAATACAAACTACACTCGGCAAGTCAAAAATTATAAATCCCACCATTTTCAATCATATTGATTTGGAGTCAATTTTCTCTAAGCAACTGACAAAAGTCCTAATACTAGTTAATGGAAGGTACCTGAAATAAGTGTTTCTACTAATAAAATATCCCAAAGTTAAATATATGTGCCATAAGGTAGTTATTTTCCCGGAGGCCCACAACTACGCCATACAACGACTGCCGCACGATAGCGTGCTGGAATGCAATGATGGAGTTTTGGCCTTCGCGGATTGCTTAAAACTACGCGCCCTTTAGCAAGAAATCGGACAAATACACTTCCGCTTGCGGTTTGCTTTCAGAAGGTTCCGCCCTTTGCTATTCTCAGCCCAGCCACCTATACTCCATCACCTAGGTGAACAAGCGCATAATCATTGTCAACGAGCAATCAGAAACGGTCAGTACAGATGACAAACCAGAGGTGGCAATAAGCGTCAAGTAGCTTATCACCTACGTGCGCCTGGCCACCATACCATGATACTGACAAAAAAAAACTAGGCACAGTGCCCTCAGCACCGGTAATAAGTTTGCAATCGCTACGCAGGATGAACGAAGACAACCTACAAGTCATACAAGAATTCAAGATTGGTGTGGAGAGATACCAGCGACTTGGAAGTTTAGCCGTCGGTCTTTCTAGTGCTTGCGCAGATAGAGTCTGTTTTTTGAGCAAATTTTGTAAATATTAAGAGCTAGAGCCACCAAACTTAATATATTGCTTCTAGAATATTAAATATATATTAAGCACCTCTCAATATTCTATGGTACAATAAGATATACTTTAGAATATTTCATTAAGATCGGTTAAGAAAAACTCAAAGTTATATGTAACCCAACTTATATTGCTCACCAATTTAAGCCACAATTTTAATGCAATTAACTTTTTGAGAATACACAAATATTCTATGGTACAATAAGATATACTGTAGAATATTTTATAAGGAACGGTTGAGAAAAACCCAAAGCTATATGTAACTGCGCAATTGGAGGGGGCAGCATGTGCAAATTCCAAGAATTTCTACATGTACACACACACATTCATGCGCGTCTGCTTCGAATTCTATCAACAGTTTGCAATTGCGATCGTTTTTTTTTTTGTGCTGTTATTTTAATTCGTTTTTTTTTCTCAATAATACTTAATTATTGGTGTGACTGTTGAGAAGAGGTATAGCAAGTGGTACAATCTGTCGCGAGATCGAGTCCTACCGGGGAAAATGTTTCTTTTCTTTTTTTTTTTTTGCTGATGTGGCTGTTGAGTACAGTCGACAGCAAGTAATGCAGTTTGTTGTGATTTCGAACCCTGCCAAGTAAACTTTATTTTTATTTAAATTTATATTTATTACTGCAAACGAGCGCGTTGCGCGAGCTGCATTTTTTCACTAACCAAACAACATATACTCTGGACAACCAGTGGAAGTGGTGGGGCCTTCTCATTTTTTATGCGGCTGGTACAAAGTCGCTTTCGTTTTTGTTCGGATTCGAGACACGCTCGCACGCTCAAACAGCAAGAGAGTAAGAAATACATATGACTTATATGATGGAACGACATTACTGCTCGTTTTTATTCCCTTACACTACAGAAAACTGCTTTGGATTACTCTCAGTGATCTATCAATTGGTGTATTTACTATTGTACTGCCTGGGGACACGTCTGGATTGAATAAATTGAATGAAAAGGCTTAATATTATCATTCAATAAAATAATGAACACTATATATATATATATATATATATAAATGTATTTCACGAGAGTGAATTTGTATTTGTTTATTAAGTTGAATGTCTGGGTTAAGACTGAGAACAAAAATTTTCTTACGCTATATTTAAAGCTAAATTTTTGCAAAAGGACAGCAGCTGCAGCTTGTTTATGCTATTGGCTTTCTGTTGGTCATTATTATGATATAATGATTACAAATACTGTATATATTATAATTTGGAATATTTTCATTTCTTTAGTATGTTCGAAATATATTTCTTTTGTTTGAATCTACGAAAGCGGTTTTAAGTTAGCAATATTATTTCTTACGTATATACTTTGTGTCTAATCTGAGTTAAAATAGGTTGTAGATATCTCATTAAGTATTATTGAGCAATTATGGATTTTTATCATGTTATTTCCTAATTAAGATATCATTTATGATACAGTTTTGATTTAATGTAATTTTTGGTAAGATTTACGTTATAAGTATATTCGCTTCTATATAATAAATTTGTGTTATTAGATGGGTTTGTCTAACATGCATAGGCTAATAGTTAGTTTCGTCTTGTCCTTGTTGTATAGATTATTATAATGTGAGTAATATTTGTATTGTGGTTCGCCTTGCAAAATATTTTGATCATGGTCTGGGTAGGGTCGTATAATGGGGTTTTATTTATTTCTCTAGGAATGTGGGAAATAATTAAAATTTCATTCGTATCGGATCTAAGCCAAGTAGGTGCTTTTATAATAAGTAGTTTTTTGGAATTAACGTGTGTAATATAATCGTGTTTTAGTATTTATACCCTGAACCCATTAAAAATGGGTATAAGGGTATATTGTATTTGTGCGAAATCCAAATGTATGTAACAGGCAGAAGGAAGCATCTCCGACCCCATAAAGTATATATATTCTTGTTTAGCATCAATAGCCGAGTCGATCTAGCCATGTCGGTCTGTCTGTCCGTCCGTCCGTATGTATGAACGCAAGGATCTCAGAACCTATAAGAGTTAAAGACTTGCAATTTGAGATGTAGGTGCTCCTAGTTCCCGCACAGGTCAAGTTTATTTCGGATAATTGAGAACTTACTCCGTTTCCAAGCAATCGATATCGATATCCTGTTTTTTGGGCAATTTTGTAAATATGCATATATGCATATATATGCATTTGATGTTGGAAGACGAGGGTTCAGGGTATCCCCAAGTCGGGAGCTCCCGACTAGAACCTCTTACTTGTTTTAATTAAAAATTCCCAATCTTGTTAGTTGCATTCGCATTTCTAAATCTTCAATATATTCTGTAAGTTGTTGCATATTGAATGCTAGTAGTAACTACTGGATAGTTTAGATTATTCTCTTTCCTCACTTTTTTTGATTACTATTTATATTCCTTGGTTGACTGCTTCAATTACATTGTTGAGTTCGTTTATTTGAATACTATTTTGAGCTATTGAATTCATTTTTTTTTCAAGTTCTTTATCGTTGTTATCTAGGGTGCCAAATTAATGTTTGTATGTTGTTCCTACTAAATTAAGTAATCCTCTTTTATTTCTTTTTACTATGCGGATACCTTTTATTTCTCCTTGCAACTTTTCTGTTAAATAATGAATTTGTATTCTGTCTTTATAGTTTTTTGTCTGTAACAATAGTTTGTCATATGTGTCTTCTGTCTTTGTTAAATTTATTGTGAGACAATGGTGCTCATAATTATCTGGTATGTCTATCATGCCTATTTTAAAAAGTAAGTATCCATTATTTGAATTAAAAGGGTTGATATCTATAACTGGTTATTACTTCCTGGTAATAAGTTGACATCATTAATGCCAGAAAAAATTAATGTTATTATATAACTCCTGTAAAAATTTGTTCTTGTTAGTTTTCTTTTGTTTTGGATAATTTGTTTTATAATGCTTAATTTTTCGAACTCTGCTAGTCTCTTCAAAATGATCATCGTCAACTTGTTCTATTTTTCCAGTCGGTTTGTAAGGGTTTTGTAATTTACCGCGAATTATGGGTACTTTCCTAAACTTAATATTTCTTTCGAAATCCTTTCGGTTTTTATCAAGGTTTTTTTATTCTTGTCTCTTTTATGTTCTGGGTAGTATAATTAGGTATTCCTGCATAAATGAATGTCAGCTGAAGTTCTACCCAGTTGAGTTATGTTTTAGCTTATGATTACTGTATAAAACTGCCTCTATTTTCATTAGTCTATTTTCTTCGTCATCGTCAGTGTTGGATTCTGCAGCAGCCTCATCAAATTAGCATAAGCAAACATTCATGTAAACAGAGGTTGTAATTTTGGTCTAGTGGAACAGCTGTTTATTATAAACAAGGTTGGCAAGCCTTTCTTGCACTTGTAGCAGCTGCTATAAATTGCAAATTCCTTTTTTATCTGCTCTCTCATTTCGTTGTTGATCGAGACGAAGCGAAGAACCAATTCTGAGCCACAGCCAAATAACCTTAAAATCTACATAAATTTGAGTAATAAACTGAATTATAACGTGCTGTTGTGAAGGGCCAACATTTACTTATTTCTTGGTTTAGGTTCTAAACAGTTGCTAAAAAACATTAGTAACTCAACATTTGGAGGCCCCGGCAAGATTTAACATTGCAGTGCACACAAGCTTAATAAATCTATTGCAAATTAAAATTGTGATTATTCAAGTATAACATAATCATCGTAAATTGTTATAATTAAGCAAGTGCAAACCGCCTGTGTGAGCTGACCATTTAGAGCTCCCAAATATTCGCATATACATAAACGCCGCTAGTTGACTTTCGCGCTCTTCCCCTTGCGCGGTCATTCGCCGGATCAGCTTATATATATATACGCTTGTACATAAGCAGCTGCACAATTCATCGCAAGTTGTGTGCTCAGTTTGGTGTTCTGATTTTGTGCTTGTGAAATAATGATGCAAGGCGAGAACACAATTGATATGCAGTCAAACAGGGTGTCTTTTCTTAAGCGCAAAGCGGTTGCATTGTTCGAGCAAGCCAAGTGTATTGTAAATGAATTATCTGAGGATAAAATTAATAACTCTTGTGCCGTCAACTTTGAAGTGCGCCTTTTGCTAATTAAACAAACTAAGTCTGCCTTTAATACCGCGCACAACTCGCTATAGGAGCTTAATTTCGATCAACATTTTCCGGTGGTTATACCGTATATTCGGACTTTATTGCGATGTTTGAGTCAGTTGTCGACAAGGATGCCGAGCTGTCTAACATTGAAAGGTTGCAGCATCTTCGTTCATGTTTATCTGGCCCTGCGTTGGATTCGGTTCGAGCCTTGGAGTTTTCCGGTGCCAATTATTCTGTGGCTCTGGAATCCTAAATAGAAGATTTAGTAACAAACGGGTTGTTTTCCAGGCACACATCAATGAGATTCTTGGGCTCAAGAGGGTTGATTCGGAGTCGGCTTCAAAACTGCGTGAGTTCT